CACAGTTTGTCGCCACAAGTATATACATTGTCTAAACTCGCCCTTTAGCCATTCTTTTGTTGCCGCTGTCATGTTGACCCCACCGCTGTAGCGCAGTTCTTCCTCTGCCACCCTCGTGCACTGTACTGTTTCTTGCCCCTGCTTAACAATCTGTGTCAATTCCATAAACAAGAATCCTTAGTCATGCGTTGTAGCGCAGTTCTTCCTCTCCCACCCTCGTGCACTGTACTGTTTCTTTCCCATGCTTAACAATCTGTGTCAACTCCATAAACAAGAATCCTTAGTCATGCGATCCTAAAACTTTAGGAGAGTTTAGGACAGAGCGTTGCACCACGAACATCTCATCCTTCCTCTAGAAAGTGAGCCGATTGTGCGCATCAGAAATGATTTCCTTGTAATTGACCTAAATTGTCACTGTAACTATATTTGCCAGAACTAAAAAGATATATTTAACACAGGAATTCAAGGCTAAACACCTGTTTGATGATGCCAAATCACTAGGCTGTCTGCCAGTTTATATTTGGCATACATTAAAGTCTTAAGCGTGCTAAGACTTGGCCGGAGACTCCCATCCATTCTTTAGGTGCTTTTACAGATGGATATTGACACAGCAAAAAGGTAGCGAGTGCTATGATTTGTTGGCAGGAAATTTAAGTCTGTCCAAGCATGCCGACCTTCTTTATAGTCTGGATTTGGAGGGAGATATTACATTTTTCTCATCTCCACCCTCCACTCCAAGGTTCCTAGTTCTTCTAGAAAGGGTGTGTGCTTTTGACAGATGAAAACTTTTAAACTTCATTCAGTTATCACTTTGGGTAAATGTGTGGTCTTAACAAGGCTTGAAGCAATAAAGTGACACAGATTTTGCCTAAAATTCAAAAATAACTCAATTGAATAAAATGCGCCAGAGTAGTTGACATCATTGTACACTTTCTGTACGCCTCAAACACAACTCATCAACTTGGGGGTTCTGAGAGGAAAGCTGCAAATAATGAGCAAAAATAAACATTAACACTTTAGCATTCCCACCCTAAATCACAGTAATCCTTCAGATGGAAAGTGTTCGACAAAAAGGACTTGACTAAAGGCGTGGTGAGTTTTCCCATAATCTAGGAGATTGAGACAAGATTTAAAAACAATAATAAGACAAAGTTCAAACTCTGGTGTGCCATTACAGCAAATGTTGACCGTACATGCCCCATACCCTGTGGTTGATCTTTAAACAAGGACAGTGGTACCATGCTGTTTCACTCCTACCATGCTAGTTCACAAAACAATAATAATGCCATGTGAAAGAAGGTGTGGTTAAGTCGTTTGTGCCAGATCTATGTAAACGCTCCATATCCAGAGGCAACTGTAATCGTATTGCGGCCACGCAAACAGCGCCCCAGTCGGACATGTTGTAATTTATTGTTCTTCTAATGTTGCTTTAGCTGATTGCCCAAAACTGTTCAAATCTATCCATTGTTGCAAAGTAAAATATTGGTCAAAATGTAATAGCACCATGATTTTATAAATTCCCTATTTCTTTGAAAATTTTACAACCATATGATACTTGATACTTCATAAATTAACAGACCTCACTGGAGGCCTCAACACCATCAAGGTCAGAACTTTGTCCAGATCCAAAACCAAAATCACCATCAGCTACATTCTCATCTGCTGCCGCGATGTGATCATCCTACACAATGGACGTCTGTAAGACCTTCACCAAGTGGCGGACAGAAGCGGGTCACAGGGTTATCCGACACCCCGCAGCTGTTTGCAGAGGTCCTGTTATTGTAAGGCTTCAGTCTCCGTAACAAGCAAGACATATTATATGAGAGATATGGCGCATCTGTGTTGTCATTTCGAGATTGGGTTACTGTGACTTTACCTCAGTCATGACCCGAACTGTTTAATATCTCATTGGCCACTGGCAGCTTTCATTATGAGGGTTAACGTAATAAAAAATAAGCTAAGTCGGTGAAATGCAATGCTTTCGCAAAATTTCATGGACTGAACTGTAGAGAGGGATGATTAGCAGTTAAGTGAGACATCAAGTCTAACCCAAGACCAAAGAGATGGTCAGGCTAATACTTTTAAGCAAAAATTATAGGGTACATGCAGTTTTTGTAAAATTGTTTTTCCACTGGCTATCGGAAACATTTCCCTATTTGTTTTTTCAGTCACTACTCAATAGGATAATATAAAACTGATAGTATGGAAGACTTTATTAAAGTTCAGCTACTGTCATAGCTCAATAGACTATTTAATTAAACATCTAAAGCATTTCAGATTAATCTACTAACTTTCAGCAAGCTAACTAAAGAAAACCAATAGTTTTAGGCACTGTATCTGTCTACCATTAGCAAACGTATGTTCAGTTGTAAACTACAATATCAGCAAGCTAACCTGCTAAAAACTGCGTATGAAAGGAGAACTTCAGGTTCAGTTGTAAACTACTATATCAGCAAGCTAACCTGCTAAAAACTATCAATATCAGGTTGTATCAGCGGGCCAACTACTGCTACTGTGTTAGCAACCTCACTGCTGTACAGTATTAGCAAGCAAACTATTGTACAGTATTAGCAACTACTGCATTAAAAAGCCAATTGGTGAAAAATAATAAATATCTAGATAACATGTTATTAGCAAGGTAACTACAGGAATATAATACATATCTGGTTAATATTTTAACTATTAGCAAGCTAATTGGTGAAAATAAATTTTAAAAAAAATTAAAAAAACAAGATAACATGTTAGTTATTAGCAAGGTAACTAAAGGAATATAATACATAACTGGTTAATATTTTAACTATTAGCAAGCTAACAAGTGAAAAACAATAACCCTGAAAAATAATACATTCCAGGCTAATCTCTTCATTGTTAGGAAGCTAACTAGTGAAGAAAAATACATTTCAGGTTCATCTGTTTGCTGTTAGTAAGCTAGCTAACAGGGGACAGTAAATCTAAGAGTGTTACCCACTTTTCTTTTACAAGTGAGATGCTGGTCCTTCCCTGTGATTACGCTGTGTTTTACGGCAAACGACAACACTGTGGTTGTCTTTAATGTATGCTCACACTGCAAAGCTGTTACTCAACCCTTTGACCTTCACTTGCAACATTCAAAGAAGTTCAGTTTTATTCAATTTCAGTTGGACTTAAACGTCCATTTTTGGTTTCAGGAACATTTGGCTTTCCCTAGTTCATCATGCACTACTGAGTGCAGTAACATTTTTAATATCACTATTTTACATTAGCGGTGACTCGACACTTTCAAAGTCTGTTTAAACAAGGTAATTTCTAAGGTTATAAGGCTGACCAGAGCACATTGTGATTGCCAAAATAAAGTAGTAGATCGCAAAGAGACTGCATTCAGCTGGCCAGAGCAAACATAACCTGGATCCGTTGAAAGTCCATGTAACCCAGGAGTGAAAGCTGTAGCTTTTTTACACTGAAGACAAGATCCAGGTGTAAGAGGGCCTTTCTTAAGCGTGGAAAACGGTCTTACTTTCCTGAGGTAAGTACTCTGTTCTCCAGCTGTGTAGTGTTCGAAAGGGAAATCTGTGTTGTATCTGTGTTTAAAATCTAGGCCATGCACAGGCGTCCCCCTAAATGTTTATTCACAGAAAGCCAGCCAAAACTGTATAGATATAGAAAACTGCCCCAAATTACTCAATTTAGCATACATTTTGAACACAAGTTGTTTTTGTTCTTTTCTTCTTTTTTTAAAAAATTTTCCTTACGATCTACCCAAGCATGCAGCATAAAATGTGCTGTTGATGTATCTGGGTCGATCTGTTGTCTGGCAACAATGAGCTAATAGGAAACAGACCTGTTTTTAAGGTCAAAACACTGCATGCTTCTCAGCCAGTTTCTGCACAAAAAAGTGGTTCCGAGACGACTTTAACAGAGGAGTGGGAGCATCGGCTTTCACACTAAGAGTCATCAGAGGTAAAGGAGACGTGGTCCTGCCTGTCATTGGAGCGCTGCTGTTGAGTCAATAGTCTTTACAGTAACAGTCAACTGAGCTAGGCTGCAGCCGTGACCCATGCACAGTCGGTAGTACAATGGAATGCCTTGCTCATAAAAAGGTCATGGTCTAAAACCTGTGTAGACCAATCATTTGTTTCAATTGGATCTGGTTGCTGCAACAGTCTGAACTAATTAGTCAATAAAGTATTTATCCTTGTTTTGGAGTAGAACAATGGGTATTATAAATGTGGTTAGTGTAGTCCGGTTATATGAACGACATTCAATGTGGTTTAAACAGCTACAACAACTTTTTTTTTCTGTTATTATAAAATTGCAAAGAGATAAAGGAAGTGATTGTTTTTCAAAATAAAATACTAGGTAGATAACGTAAATTATAAACAAAACCGAAATAAAACTTGTTTTAGTTTTCATGCGGCCGTGTACCACATGACCTGATACTGGTCGCTGACCTGATGGTTTCTTATGGTCTCAATTGCTCTTTAACTCTTTGTTTATGAAATTATAGTGCCATTAGAATATTTGACAAACATTTTACTTTGCAACAATAGATGACATTAGATTCGAACAGCTTTGTGCAAACAGGGTCCTAATAATATACTAATAGTAATAATATCTGTTATTACAAGTAAAACTGATACAATTTCCTGACCCTAAACGACACTGTCAGGAGCTTAATGTATTTTTTCCCCCTTAATCCTACATCCACCTCTCAACCAACTCACTCATGACAACTATTTTCCCCATGGAACACGTCAACTGTGTCAGTGAACGCATCATGTAAAACACTGGGCATGATTGTTTTGGGTTTTTTTTTTAAATATATAGAAATATTTTAAATTACATAGTGAAAGTATGTCAATTCCACCACGCTCCAAACTTGATGCAACAGATGACGTTCAAAGCGACCACATGTCGGGCGTGTGTTTAAAGTCGTTAATAACGTGTGTCGTTGTGGAAGGAAATCTCTGCAGATTCACTGCCTGTAAATACGCTGTAATTTATTTTCTTTCTTTCTAACTCACCCCTGCTGGAAGTGAAGAGAACGGGGTCGCTCCTCATCGTACAGTCTCTCTCATCTAATCCACACACCGTGCGTGCCCAGCGGCTCCCCGGCACCACTGTAATCCCTCGTGTGCACAAACTTTGTGCGGTTACTTTTTGATTCTTCCTCTGCCTCCTCTTCTGCAGACGCTGCCTCTACTTATTCCGTGTCTTCAGAGCCGGTCACTGGAGTCTTTCTCTCCTTTTCTTTCAAACTTTTTCGACTATTTCCACTCCTCCTTCCCCTTCTCCTCGTCGTCGTCCTCCTCCTCCTTCCTTTCCACTTTTTCCTCCTCCCCTTGTCTGATCCGAGCCGCTCTCCTTTCCTCTGTCCTGCAGGCTGCCTGCATGGATACGTGCCGCATTCAAAGGCTGTCGGACAACGGAACGTTTCCTGTCTGGAGTTGAGCTGAATCGTTTTAAGGAGCGCGTGCTATGTTGGCTCCATATTGTAGCGGTTAGCGAGCCTGCCTTACAAGCAGAGATTCCCCAGAGGAATCACATAGCCCTAATGGCGCCTCCTGTGGCAGCCTGTGTCAGTTGCAAAAACTCAGAATGGTAATTTCTCCGTCACTGGACGAATAAGGGACTTATTATTATTATTATTATTATTGTTGTTGTTGTTGTTGTTGTTAAAATAAGAGATATGCAATGATGTTAAAAAGAAGAAAATGGCGCTTTAAAAGTAATTAATAATATTGGCCCTTACAATTTCTTCAATCCCGTGCATAAAGTTTTAAATATATTTAGATGTTTTTTTTAAAGAATATTACCATTTTTTTTAGCTAAATAGTCAAATCTGTACAGCTTAATAGAACCGTGACGCTCTGTGTTATTAGTTGCTAGCTCACCTTTCATCACCAATCTCCCAAGTTTACTGTAAGAGATCATCAAGTTCTTCCAATTTTACCTTGAGGTAGGAGCAGGCGGCTCTAAAACAATTTTAAAAAGCAGGGCAAAGCTGTTGAAGGAGACTTGTGTGTCTTTCTTCAATTCCTGCACATTATCATTGTGTACATTAACTGTAAAGTAAAAATACTGCATACTTTACGTCAGTTTAACATATAAAGAAAGAAAGAGGCTTTGACCTATGACCTCTCGCCTCTGAGCTGGTTGTGGTTTTAAAATGAGTTTACCGCACTGCTGAGAGGATCGGTCAATCATGCACCTTTGTGTCGCTTGTTATATACAGATCTTCTCAGTATGTACAGTTTGAGCCACCTACAGTTTGGTAGAAGAATTATCAGATCATTATGTGAAACAGAGAGCAATGGATGCAGGAAAGAGAAAAAAGAGACAAGGGTAGAAGTAGTAGGAGGTGAGAGGGGTTTGCCTGCCTTATTACACTCATTACCATAAGTCGTTGACACCTTTGCCACGTGGTTGTAGATGCACAGAGACACAAACACACACACACACACACACACACAAATCACATCAATCATCCCTAGGGAATGCAACAGTCACTCTGAGTTCAACATCCCATCTGCCACTAGTGGAGAAAGATGAGGAGGAGGAGGAAGAGGAGGATATTAGTGGAGAAAGATGAGGAGGAGGAGTAAGTGAGGGGAGGCAGATGTGAGCGTTAGACTGAGGTTACACAGCACTGGAGTTTCTCTCTTTTTTTCCCCACTTTGTTTTTCTTCCACACTGCTGCTCCGCTTATTCGGCGAGAAATGTGAGAACGGAGGAGGGAATGGCGTGGACAGAAAGAGCGATGTCCCGACTCTGCTTTCACTTCCACCAGTTCGGGGGAAGCTCAAACTGACAGAGGTCGCTGAAGTGTGTTTTCCCTAAAGGCTAATCATCGTCATGTTGCTGTAACTGACCTATTCGCCAGTGGGTTCGTCAGTGTGTTTTTAGTCGTAATTAATTATTTATGAACTTTCTGTGCTATCTTGCCCAGTTATGAAGACTTTTCACATTAATTTTTTTTTCACATAATAAAGTTTTACATTTCACCTCACACTCTCCCAAAGGTGAAAATTCTGACTCAGGAAGTCAAAATAACCTTTCCAGCCTTTACCACAAAAATCCAAGATGGCTGCTTCGTATAGTATGTATTAAAATTCTAATTATTCGAAGGAAAAAAACAGCCAGGTCAGCAGAAGCACAGAGGTATTAGCAGGTGACTAGTAATACAGTTCTCATACTACAGTGGAAGAAAGTATTTTAAGTTCTGCTGAACTACAGCAAAGTATTTACAATAATACCCTGTGCAGACCCCTTAACTACTCTAGAATATCATTGAACTTCAATGTTATTTTTTAGTTAGAATTTTTCCATCTATACTGAGAGGAGAGTTTAATAGCTAAACTACACATTAGCATGTTATATTCACAACTCTACGTAGGTAACTTTGCACTAATTTAACTAAAAATTTAAACAAATAGAACCGACGGAGAAGTGCTGTCGGTTGTATTTTGGAAATAACTAGAAGCTGCTGTTAGGCCATGCTTATTATGTTGATGTCACTGTGACACAGCACACCACTGCACACCAAAGTGAACAGTGGGCAGCTTTAATCGGTGTGTGGGACGGTGCCATGCTCGGAGCACCTCAGGCCATGCTTATTATGTTGATGTCACTGTGACACAGTGGGCAGCTTTAATCAGTGTGGGGACGGTGCCATGCTCAGAACACCTCAGTGGTAACTTGGCAGCTGGTGGACCCGAACCTGAAGCCTTCCGGACCTAACTCCGCTTCCTTACTAACCACTAAGCCACCACTGCCCCATGAAGGCCTTGGTGTCGCCAACTCATTGCATCTCATTGCAATTTGTTTTAGGCTCCACGGCCCCCGCATTAACGATTTGCAAGGCTCTAGGGCAGATTTCTTTGACCCTGGCAACACATGTGGCTGAAATATGATTTGATAAAAAAAACTTAAATACAACAGAAAGGAGCGAAACCAAGAGAAAAGCTGGGATTTCGAATACATGATGAGAACAGAATACTGTAATATAAAAAATAATTTAAAAAAATACTCAAAATAAAAAAAAATCTCATAGGGAAGAATGCAAAACAAATATAGCAACAACATGTTCAGCTCCTGATCCGCAAAACTGGCAGCTCACATGCCAGATGTTGATGATCGATACAACTTTTTTATGTCTGATATATATATATATATTTTTATGTCTGATACCGATACCGCAACCCGGTGTATCTGCCAATACTGATATCAATCTGATACCTTCTTTTCTTCTCTTGCATGCTGCGGGCCGCTGTTGATAAAGCGATAGTCTCCCTATTTTTGGCCTGTTGCGTAAAGTTAAGTTGAGCATTTGGGCTTAGTTGTTTCTTTTTTTGTTTCTTTATGTTTGATCCTGAAGTTCTAACCAATATCTGACCAAACAAACAAATATTGGCTCGACCTATGGACTTATTTAGTCATGGTAACTTTTTGTAGCAAAAAGTAATGTCTGACCAATCAGAGTTTTTAATGGGCAGCTAAAGGTGGCATTTCTAACTGTATTGTGAACTAGGATGTGGGCCAGATGATCCCACACTGGAGAGAACTCTAGTGGGGGGGGGGGGGGGGGAGATATATGCTGGAGCTTTGAGGCCCTTATCACTGATATCACTGGTATGATGATGATGATTAGGGAGTATGTGCTGAGTATATGTGATGAATTGATGAGTGCTAAAAGGATGGATGGAGGGATCTGGGATAAATCTCTGTCCTTCACTTCAACGCCTGAGCTACAAATTCTTCTATGCGTGCGTGAGTGTTGTCCTGGATACTGACATCAGTGTTTGGCCTTACACCGAGATTAAAATCTAATAAAGACCGAGATACTGTAATACCTTGGCCGCTTTACCGCACTATTCAGCCATCATCCTGTCAGGGTTTTCAGACACTCCTCACACAACACCCACACACCAGTGATATCTGGTTTGAATTTGGACAAATAACACCCTTCATTTGTGAGATATTGACTTGACTTGTCTTCGTGTTATCTATGTCTACACAACGTTCTATGCGTTACCGTGAGGGTTTTACTTCATTTTAAATTTACAACTAACCTCCCGTAAGGACATCATTTATCACCAAGGTCAGTGGTGTCCAAACTGTTTTCGCAGCGCTGATGTTTTGGAGATAGGACCGTTGTCATGCCCCCCAAAAGCTATTGTTTCAAAACTGCACTAAACAAAACTGCTATTATCACTCTAGAAACAAGTCAATTTTTTCTCTTGTGACTAACATGAAGTACGTACATTTTCCTAGCTTGGCCTCATTTCACTCTTTGGGAAACGCCAACTTTGAACACCAAGGTTTAGCAACTGCTAGTAAATCTATGAATGTGAGTAAAGAAAACAAGCGGCATCTTCATAGATCAATACTTAAGATGGATTTTTTTGATTTTCAAAATGACTGGGTTTAAAACATGATAATCCACTTACTCTACTGACGTACAGAGAAATAATAATGGTTTCTAAGCACTCATGGAAACGCACCTGTTTAAAGAAGACCTTAATAAACCCTACTTAATAGTATGAACTGATTAGTGTTGTATTTATACAAGAGTAAGAGTAAAAAAATCTGGTTCCACAATGTAGTAAACAGTAGTGTATCAGTTGGCTTGCCTGCCTCACAACAGAGTCCTGGGTTTGATTCCCAGAAGAACCACATACTTGGTAGTGTGGGATCAATAAAGTTGAAATTATTATTATTATTGTTAAATATTTAGCATTGGAACTCAGCAGTAAACCTTACCAAGACTTGGGTCAAACAACATATCGACTTGCATCAACCATACATATATATATATATATATATACACACATACACATATATATATCATTTTTTGGACAGTGGGAAAAATTACTAATTTTTTTTTTTTTTATCGGTGAGAATAAACAGCTGTTAATGTTTTGATGTGGAGAGCACAACAAAAGTCCTATTTTTGCAAAAAGGGGGTGTAGCAGAACATTTTTGAAAAACACTGCTTTATAGGCAGAAAAGGAAAAAATGCGAGATCTGTAAGACTATAAAATGAGTAACAGGTCGAATACAATAATGTATGAGATTCGCTCGTGGAAAAAAAGGCTGATCCAGAATGTAGAGCCATGAATATTTTTAATCACATCAGTGTTGGTGTGATAACAGTTCACAGAAGTGTACTAACTCTCCTTGACCCTAATAGTGGCCACGAGTGAGTCGGTGTATGCACCAATAAAGAATATAAAGGGTCAAAAAGGCTCGATTGTGTGCAAACACTAGCCAGCTTGTTTTGATTCCGTGTGTTTCCCCTTTCCCAGAAAAAAGGCTGGCATTCAAGGCATGCCTGTCAAAACAGCGGCCGACCTGAGCACCTCTCTACACGTACACACAAACACACACATACACACACTTCTATGTCAAGCAAAACAGGGTGGAGAAACCCATAAGCAGCTGTTCTGTGTTTTATTGTGAGTTTGTCTCTTAGACTCATGAGAATGACTGTATCTGTGTGCACTCACATTCTTCTCCGCTCTATTCTGAGGTTACAAATAAACGGCCGTCCGCATTACAAACACAGACTAGATCATGCGTTAATCCTGTCTGATTAACGCAGATCAGCTGATTACATGCAATTAACACTCAACTGCAGACC